ATTTTAAATTTTTTTACATTTTTATATTAAAAATTTATTTCTACCCCTAAAATTTTAATTCACTCTCTCAAATTTAAATTCATCATCTAACATAAAATCATACCTACGTATTTGTAAGTAGCATCCCTCGTGGGATTGTGACTGGATATGGTCTTGATTGCTTTGTTGTACAAATCTTGTTTCGTCCAATCACTTTTCGCCAATCTCTAAATTTAATCTATTAATAAACCTGAACATGTGTGGGAGTGGGACTAAGGTTGCGTTTCGCAATACTTTTGGGTGTTAAAAGTGGTTGTTCATCTTGTAAGAAAATTATTTTATCCATCCAATCTTGAAAATTACAATTTTCAATTTTATTATAAAAACTAATCTTCTTCTTCTTTTTTTCTTTAAAATTAGGGTAGAGTAAAACTTGACTTAATTTGAAAAATTATTTTTTGACATGGCTCGTAATTTTATAAATTACACTTGACTCTATTTTTTTTTAATATTATAGTCGAATTGTAAAATAGAACTCAAATAACTCGAAATTATTAGTAATTAGTGGATTTATTTTTAAGTTTGAGTTGAATTTCTCAACTTTGTATGATATATGTATATCACATATGAAAAAATATAAAGAAATATATATATATATATATGTATTGTATATGATTATTGAAAATCATTTAAATTAGAATCAAATATTAAAATAATATTATAAATATTTATAATTAAATTTAAACAAAAACTCAAACAACTCGACTCAAATTTTAAAAACTTGAATCTATTTGAAAAAAAATATATCAAAAGAAGTTTAAGTTATAAATAAGACTCCACAACTCGAATAACTTAATTTTTTTACTCAACTCGATCGAAAGCTCACCCTTACTTTCAATTTATTTAATTCTAATTGATTATTAAACTAATACATAATTTGACAGAAATTTAATTTTTTATATAATCTTCTAAAAAAATTTGTTGAGTATAAAATGATATATTTTTTATTATATTTATTTTGAACATGTAATTAATTTTAAATTTATTATGAACTTCTAAACCATTGCTTATTTTTCTTTTCTTTTTTCATCTTTCATCGGTAGCCGACAACATCCGTCTTAGTATTGATCGTGGTCGTCAATATTTCTTCATTTTTTATTTTCTTATCTTGTATCATTACTTTTTATGTTTCTAATAACTTTAGATATGATTTTTTTGTATTTATGACAATTTCTTTGCATTTTGGCACGATTTTTGGATTTTTCTTATATCTTTTGTCTGTTTTTGTTATTTATTTTTCTCATGATTGAATTTGACGTTTTCGTGATTTATCAATATGACGCTCATTCGTTATCCCACTGATCTTCCCTCTTTTCGAATTCTCGAATTGTATTTGGATACGCAACATGCATTTGTAGATGGTTTTCTCACGATGTTTGACTCTGATTTACGTTTATTGATAGTCTTTTAGTAGTTAAGTAGTCAGATATGTTCATATCTACCTATTGTTCAAGTTTTTTGGATGAATTTTTACCTTTTCATTGTTTCGTCCTTATATGATTTTGAGTGTCTATTTTGATAATATTATATTTAAAACAAATATTTTATTTTTAAAATTACTTTATGATAAATAACAACTTTTAAATTTTTAAATATATATTTTTAAAAACTACATTTTTACATCAATTTCTAGAAAATTATAAAAAATGGCCCTAATTGAGGATGTTAATGTGTAAAAAATATGTAGAAAAAAATAATGTGTAACTAATGGAACTTATCGATGATCGAAGGAAATATTATTTTTTTCTAAAGATTTTTAGTTTTATTAATTGCGTCTGTAAAATGAGAGTAAATTATTAACGATTTAAAAAATTATGAAGAAATATTATGATATAAGAAATATTAAAAAAAATAATGCGCAATTAACGAAAATGAAAAGGAATTCCGCTACCTTTTCCACTACTTTGGTTTTGTGTCGGTATATTATTAATAAACTTATCACAAGATGATGGGTGCACGTTGCTTATAATAACCAAAATAATAATTCTTGTAGCATTTTGGCATTTACTTTGATTTCTTTTTTGGTAAGTTACTTACATTCTTTTTTTAAGGTGAACTATACATTACCCCACCATTAAGAAATTCACATATTTAGTACTTAAACTATTAGTTTTGGTTGATTTTAATATATAAACTTTTAATTTTCTCAAAAATTAATATTAACTTTTGAATAGAAGTACTAAATTGAAATAAAAACTAAACTTTAAATATGATTTTGAAAAAATTAAAAATTAAAATATTAAAATAGATCAAAACTGATAATTTAGATACTAAACGTATAATGTACCATTCTTTTTATTTGGGATATATCAGCAATGGATTAGAAATCCAAATTCGAAGTGGAAAGCCTTCAACCGGATTCGTTAGGTGACGACGACAAGCAAAGCTTCAAGGCTGTGTTGCTCTCCTCCACACGCTCTGTTTAAGCTCCCGTGGGAAGTCATCTACTACACAAATAGTCCATAAATTACTACATAAAATATCATTTTTAATATTTGTATTATTGTATAATTACGTTTGAAATTAAACTATAATAAATTATCAGTAAAATATTTTTATTTTTAAATATGAATTACAGTGTCTAACTTACATCTTTAACTCTTAATCAAAAATAGTTATATATAAAATTATTTAAACTCACAATCTCTTAGATATTGTAAATATAACGATAGGAGCCAAATAACATTCAATCGACAAATGTATTTTTATTTTGTGGAATGAAAATACAAAGATTAAGATTCGAAAATCAATGAATCGCAACATATATTTGGTGAATAACAATATCCATTGAATTTCATATATTACTGTACTTCTTCTGTTTTTTTTTTTTGGTGTGATAAAATTGTGATCGGTTTTGTTTCTGTATTCCCACGTTATTGGTTTTATGTGCAGCCCCCTCGACTAAAGAATACATTAAGTGGTGACATCGGACAAGTGGTTCTTTTCATGAAAGGAGCCAAGGATTTCCCAGTGTGGGGTTTCGAGTACTGTGGTGCAGATTTTGAATTCTTTGAATGTTCCTTTTGAAACCATAAACATACTCGAGAATGAACTCCTACGTCAAGCGAGTATTCCAGCTGGCCTACCTCCCCCCAGCTTTACATCCAAGGCGAGTTTTTTGGTGGCTGCGATATCACAGTCGGTAATCTTTCTATTCATTTAGTAGAACAAAAATTCATTTCGATACACAAACGTTCTTGTTTTAGGCAATTGATTCCTTTGGGGTATAAAAGCCGAATCCTTTATTATCAAGGCATTCAAAAAGCAATAAACTCGGGTTAAAAACTACTTACAAACTCTAAGAATCACTGGGGAAATACAGATAGCAGATGACTTGATCTACTAACTCCAGCATTTGCAAGTCCGTCGGCCTTCCCACTTCTACTGTAAATTTTGGGATTCATTTCAAGACCTTAATATTTCTCTGGTCTATTATGCTGCCTGCTGTCTTCATTTTTCTGCTCCATTTATGGTTCATGCATTATCACACACAAATGTGCATGAGTTATGTGTGTGTTAAACCTTGCGTGTCCATAAACATCCATATAGAGAGAAATGATTAGTTCAAGTTGTTCTCTATATTTTATTATGGTCTTGTCTCTTGTGCCACATCTTTCCAGCGTGAAGCTAGAAAAGAGAAAAGCCGACCGTGTACCGGGCACGGGAATTGGGGGTGGGGGTGGGGGTGGGGTTGGGATTGAGAATGAGAAGCTTCCCTTCTGGTCTTCTTAATGGGAACGGGATAGCCTTATTCTATTTTAAGCCAGATATAAAATACTCAATAACGGTCTTTAACGAATAAGGAGGCAAAACTTACTATTGTACTTTTTGTGGCGGAACTCTGCTCTTCAAGATGTCCGCTTTCATCATTGTCGAATGATATGGTTTTGTCCCTGAAGAAAGGTTTGCTTTGTGTTTTAGGAAGCGATTTATCCATGTGAAGAAAATATTGAGTGATCCTTTTGAAATTGGGTTTGTCGTCTTTATGCTGCGGAAGTCCCATCCTTGTGTGCATCAAAACGTTTAAACTGGAATGGTTTTCAAGTAGTGAGAAATTGTGTTTTGCAAGTATTTAATTGGTTCTTTTTTTTTTACCTACCGAGACATATAAGAATGGGCAATTGCAGGAACAATTGGAAAAGGCGATATGCTCCTGATTCTTACCATCATTGAAAAGTGATAGTATAGCTGTGCCTGTTCAGAATCAGATGACAGTTCATTGTCTGCTGATGCTTTTCGTGGTTGCTTGTGTCGATCTCTCATTTGAATTATACAATTTGTTGTTCGAATATCAAGGATTCGAATGCCATGTCTATATCTCTCCTATTTCTGGTGCTGCTACCTTCTGTAACTTCAGTGGCTTTGATTGGAAGTATGAATATAGAATTGAAATCAAGTTGTATAGATACGTTTGTAATGGTTTCCTCTTGTCAAAAATAGAACTCTCTTTTGGTCCGGTCTACTTGGATCTTGAGAATCCATGTTGCTTTTAGTACAGATTACTCTGGTTTTGAGTGGTGGGTTTTTTGAATAATTCCTGTTGCGGTTGTTTCAGATTCAATATATATTTTAGAGTCAAACCACTAAATTTGAATAGCTTTATTTATTTTGAAGTTATAACTTCTTCATATACACGAGAGTTCATCATTACTTTTAAATTATATATATATCAGAATTAATCTCTATAAATACTAAACTAAATAAACTACTGACCAACATAACAAGGACTGAAATCATCTCTTCAGCGAATGTCAGCACAATGTTAGCATTTTGGCCCCTACTAACTCAGGTGGATCTTTCCCACAATAGAATGCACCCAAAAACAGTTGATAAAAAAAGGCGAATAATTAACCACTTAATTATGATTCCAAGTATTTCACAAGGTTCAGTTCGTTAGTTTTCACCTGTTCAAAAGCCTCGATGTAAAGCAATTTGTGACAAACACGTCTGCTTTCATATTAATGTTAACAAACCAGGCCATAATGCAAACTAACATGAAATATGGTGTCCGCCTGTTATGTTAACATTATCATTTAGCCTGGAGGCCAGTTCATTTGGCGCCCCCCGAGGAGGTGGACATGAATGTGATACACAGATTGACCTGCAACACAACGCAACGTATGAATAAAATTATAAAACATTACGTAGTCTCTCGCCAAATTGAAATGGAAAAAATAATGTCTCTCATTTAAAAAAAATAAGCAAGAGAAAGAAAACAAACATCCTTGAGGGCCATCGTTGATCACAATCCTGAAGCCATCTTCCAGTCCTTCCTGTTTTGCGACAAGCTTTGCGGTATAAAGAAGGTGGCCTAGAATTTCAGTGTGCCTCTCCTCAGCCTAAAACACAGAATTCACAACCATAAGACTATAGATGGATCAAGGAACAAGAGTTCTCCAAAAAGATCTTGGCAGAAAACCAAAACTGAAAAGCATGCTAAAATGGATTCATATTCTACGAAGTCTAAATAAAAAACTAGACTAGCCTGAGCTCAAATCCAGTCTACACCTAAAAAACCTCGAATTCAGAATGATCCAAGCCTTAAATGACCTGCGCCAAAATCAAACTAATCTGAACCCACCAAACCAGTCTATTTGCCAAGTCTAATTAAAATAAGGTTTAGTTGTCAATACTATTTTTTAAAATGTAGTATAGATAGCTAGATTTCAAGGACCTATAACTCTATTTTTAGGTTTAGTCCAACTCCATTTAGAACCAATTAAATTTATCCCAACCACGAGTATTCTTCCTATGAGCAAATGAGTGAAGTGCACCGAAGTTGTACGGATAAGTTAAATGAACCTAACAGACGACTGTTGAACGGATAAGGTAAACTTCAAGACATTTTCCTTCAACTGGGATGAATGATGGAGTGTTGCTTTAAGGTTTTAGAAGGGTTTTTCTTTGTAAGGATATATTAAAAGCTCGTGTTAGGGATTTATGGCCTATACCTATCAATACTTGAATATCAAGGGTTAACGTTTTCTTCATCATAGATTCTCTTTCATTCCTATTCCCTCTTAGGCCCCCTAATACTTTCTTTAACGCCAAAATTCCATAATACAATTTCCACTTAATTTAAATCCAATATTCATTCTCTTACTTCTGCCTCCTTAGTCCTTATTCAGCATCAGGAGTGAGGGAAACGCAAAAGGCAAAACGAATTGACAAGACTAGATCATTTAGTAATGATGCTCTTCTTTTTTGTTTTCAATTTAATACATAACCATAACTGTTGTTTCCTCCATGCAAAACGGCAAAAATGCTTACTACTCAGATGTGAGAGAGAATAATTGTACCTTAGACAATCCAGTTAGGCCATCCTTGTTTTTTGGAATGATTAAGATGTGTGTAGGAGCCTGGGGAGCTATGTCCCTGAAAGCTAAGACCTACAAACAAAAGAAAAGACAAATAAATACGTCAGTGCAAATGGATGGCAAATAAACTTAAAGCTAGATGAAAAGAACTAACATATCAAACTGTGAAAAAACATAAAGAAAATTTTACATGAACCTATCAAATCCGAGGCATAGGCTAAAAACTTGCATGGTTGATTCATTAGAATCCTTCCCCATTCAGTAAACTAGGCATTCCTCAAAATTCAAGCAAAGAATTCTCATCTACCAGAGACAGCTAGCAGGGGAAAAAAAGCCTCTAACCCTACAATTCTGACATGCCTTATTTCAGGGCAATGAACGGTTTAGTTCTCAAAATGTAAAAGGCCAAGGAAAATTCTCCACCTTAAAAGTGCAGAGGCTGTTTGCATTTCTACCCTTTTTAAGATAAAACACAGAAAAGCACAAAATCAGTGCTCTTCGAAATGTTAAAAACCAGACCAGTTTCCAAGTCGCTACCAGAATTTGGGCCAGAGAAGGTTGTTTTTAAGAAACAAAATAAAAATATATATACAACCAGCACCAGCAGGCATCACCTATTGTAAGTATTATATGGGAAAAAAATGACAGTTTCTATCCCATTAAACAATAGTTTCGAGAAGGAAAATTGGACATGATTTCTAAAAAACATTCGAGCTTAGAAACAACCAGTGATTGACCAACACAGTACTTAAAATTAAAAGTATTAAAATGATCAGCACCTTATCGTCTTCATACACCACTGTAGCTGGGATTTCCTTGTTGATGATTTTGTCGAATCTGAGGAATAATAATAAATAAATAAATAAATAAATAAGAAAGAAGAATTAGAATAAGAATTAGAAAGCGAAAAGTAAGGTTGGACTGACATGGTAGGAGAATCAGAGGGTGCAGCGGCGAGCGCTTTTTCTTCCTCAGAAGCCATGACGGAAGATCCCGCAGTCAAATGACAACTCAATACTGCCAGTCGGCTCTTCTTTATATCATCACTAACCCTGTCTCTTCCATTTTTTTGGCATGTGCGGATGTGCCGTTCTCCTTTTTTTCTCTCGCGCACTCTCCTCATCGTTCCTACATTTTAGGCTTAATTGAATATTAGGTTAGTCATTATCTCATTTTGATATCTACGTATTTCCTTTTATATAAACGTATCGATTGATTTTATTGGTAATGAGAATGTTGCGTAGACGTGAAAGAGAAAATAATTTCAGTGACTAAAAATGTCTTATAATATACGATTTTAACTAACTTTTTTTGAATTTGCCAAAATGATCAACTAAATCGCAATGTGATCGATAATTCGCAACGCGATCTCCGGTATCGCAAATCAGTTTCCATATTCGCAACGCGATTTTGACTATCACATTGCGATTTCCCAAATTCGCGTTGTGGTTTTCCTAATTCGCAATGCGAATACGTAAATCGTAACGCGAATTTGGAAAATCGCAATGCGATTACGTAAATCGCAATGCGATTTACATAGCGCCATTCATATTAACGCGTATTTTTTTTCAAATTCCAAACACGAATATATTAATATATCGGAACACTGAACCGTCCATAGTATATCCCGTAATCGTAACTCATAACCTAAAACCCTAAATCACAACTCAGTCTCATCTCCATCTCTCACTCTCTAAGACGACATCCGTCCCCTTCTTCGACGAAATCAGTCCCCACGACGATATCAGTCTCCATCTCCGGCGAAATCATTCACGGTCAGAAATGAAAAATCAACCAAATCAACCACCGAGGGTTAGTTTTTTAAATTATTTTTATTTTGAAATTTTTGCATTATTATTCGGTTTTTAATATTGAAATTGATGATAAGTTTACTGATATTTTCAATAATAGATTAACCATTTCACTTAGATTGCTTATTATATTCATTCGATTGCTGCCAATACTGCTAAACTTTTTAGTCTTTAACCCTATAAGTTAGTATTTGTCTTTGTTTTGTCGTTTGGTTAAAGTAATGCAATCCATTCAAGTTTCTTTCAATTTTAGTATTTGAAACCGAGAATGACTATCGCAATGCGATTCTGTCGTTGCAATTTTCATTTCGCGTTGCGATAGTTAAATTCGCGTTACGATAGTCAAATTCGCGTTGCGATAATCATTTTCGTGTTGCGATTTTCATTTTCGTGTTGCGATTTAAAGTTTCAGAAACTATTCTTCTTCTGCAAATTGAAACTTGAATGAATTGCATTACTTCAACCAAAAAAAAAAATACTAAATTCACAGTGTTGCAAATTTAAGTTTGAAGAATAAACTACTACTCTTTATATTTATTGTTCATATCTTCACAGTGTAGTTTTTGGTATATCTAAATTGGTATGTTTATTGTTTTTGCATAACTTTTATTCGGCTCAATTGACCTTAAGAAATAAAGTAAGCCTGGCCAAAACAATTGCGTCGAAGCTTTCACCTGCACAAAGAAAAATATTTGAGGATACTTGCTTCGGGCCATAGCTGAAAGTACAACATCCGGGTAGAGATGCTATGTTGACCCATCTGTTTCTTCAAACCATGACTAGCGATCTACCAGAGACTATACAACGTCGTGATGAAGAGATATGGTTTGATTTTCCACCGGCGTATACGTGTTTTGGGCGGGAGGAGTTTTGCTTAATCACCGGTCTACGCTTCGGACACGATGATGTAGATCGGTACACTAGACATATTACCCGCCTATCATGGTTTTCTCGGGTTTTTCCTGAGCTGTCAATGGAGAAGTCGAATTTACACGTGGAAGACTTGACGAGATTATTGAATAAGAAAGATGGTTTTACTCGGATGGATGACGTCGATGTTGTCCGAGTATGCCTTCTAATACTTTTACAAGCCGGCTTTTTAGGCAGAGAGGCCCGACAACCTATTCCTAATGATCTAATTAAATTGGTAGAGGACCTAAATGTATGGAACCTGTTTCCGTGGGGTTCGTATCTATGGAGAGCTACATGGAATAAGTTGTCGTCTGCCTTTAATGATCGGAAAAGTTTGCGTGGCGATGATTCCAAATACACTTTGTCAGGCTTAATTTGGGCCTTTAAGGTAATAATTTTTATATAATGTTTCCAAAATTATAATTAATTATTTAACAATTACTAATGTTTGTTATTATATTGTTTGTAGATTTGGATATTTGAGGCCTTTCCTGCCATGCAGACATATGCATTAAAAACTTCTAATGATATTCCTAGGGTTATTTCCTGGAAGAGGAAACGGTCCTTGCAGCAATGGGAAGATTTACTACCGTATACTACAATAAATAATGTAAGTTAACACAAATACTACCATACGTTTATAAACAAGTTATTACTAGTACACGTTTAACTTTGTTTGAGCTTTTAAATTATTAGGAGGCCAACACTCCATTACAGAGGCTGACACCCACGGAAGCTGAGTTTGCCACTGATTGGTGGCAAGCTAGTAAGCTTTTTTTATGGCATGGATGATGAGCAGCCACCACTTCGAGAGCCATCACCTCACCCATAGCCATCACCTGATCGACCCGAATATACACCTCCATAACGAGAGTCATCACCTATTCTGTCACATCATCGAGCCTCTTCTCCACCATCACCTCATGATATGCGACCGACAAAGATGCCACGACGTTTATCTCCCTGTTCTCCACCTCCACGGGATGAGTTAGGGGAGTTACGTAATGAGGTCAATGCCTTGCGTGAGGAGGTCGGTACTTTACGCGATGAAAATAGTGCATGACGTGTTGAGGTGTCTACTTTACGTGGTGAGGTAGCAGCTCTATGTGAGATTGTAGCATCGTTGCAGAATGAGGTTCATACTCTACGCAACGAGGTAAGTTTAATATTTTTCATATATTTAACTTGATGATAAATTTACTCGTAATTTCACTTAGATTGATTAGTAAATTCATTCGGTTGTTGCCAATACTGTTTAACTGTTTATTCTTTAACCTTGTGAAGTTAGTATTTGTTTTTGGTTGTCTTTTGGTTGAAGTAATACAATCCATTCAAGTTTCAATTTGCAGAAGAAGAATAGTTTACTATCGCAATGCGAAAATGACTATCGCAACGAGAGAATGACTATCGCAACGAGAGAATCGCAATACGAAAATGACTATCGCAATGCGAAAATGACTATCGCAATGCGAAAATGACTATCGCAATACGAATTTGACTATCACAACGAAAGAATCGCAATGCGAAATGAAAATCGCATTGCGATTCTCTCGTTGCGATAGTCAAATTCGCATTGTGATAGTCATTTTTGCATTGCGATGGTCATTTTCGCGTTGCGATTTTGTTGTTGCGATTTTCATTTCGCATTGCGATTCTCTCGTTGCGATAGTCATTTTCGCGTTGCGATTTTAAGTTTCAGATTCTATTCTTCTTCTGCAAATTGAAACTTGAATGAATTGCATTACTTCAACCAAAAGATAAATACTAACTTCACAGTGTTGAAAATTTAAGTTTCAAGAATAAACTACTACTCTTTATGTTGTCATTGAACCTGCACTAAACATATATGTTGTCCTTTTAAATGTTTATATAAGTGCTTACTTTTGGAATGTTATCTAATGCATTTTGTGAACAATGATATAATAATGACTTGGGTGAATACTGTGCAAGTTTGAAATATATTTGTCTTTGTTTTCATTGTTTAATATCATGTCTGTTTATTTACTGATTTATGTATTAATTTATTTTTAGCGGCCCGCTAAGGTGGATGCTCTACGTCGGGTTTTTCTTGCAAGACGGAGTTCACGCATCAGACGGCGTGCACGTGCCATTACGTCTCCATTCACCCCAATAGTGCGAAGAATCCGTAAGAAAAAGCCCGACTCACCTGTCATCGTTCAAGAGGCCTCCCCTATCGTTCAAGAGGCCCCTATCATCCCTCAAGAGTCCCCTCCCACCGTTCAAGAGGCCACTGTCATCGTTGAAGAGGTCCCTCCCAACATTCTAGAGCCCGATTCACACGGCGTAATATATCGAATTATTGAGAAGCCCCCTCACGTGCCGGACATGATGGATGACTGTTGGCTTTTGTATAAGTTACCGGCTAGTACCATTCCGGCAGATGAAGTGGAGAGGAAACAACTACCGGAAACAATTCTGGATAATACCCTTTGGGCTAAGACCGCAGTTGATTTTTATCTACATGAGCGGAGCCAATGGTGTTACGCTGACATATACAAACTCAACGATGATATGCATTTGTTGATTGAACGGTCTTGGTGGGGTGTATTATTAGGGGTTGAAGACAACGGCTATTTCGATGGGGGTAAGTCTTATATTTCTTCTTATATATCAGTTTGATTAATTTTTTTTAAAATTTATGTAATTCACTAATATATGTCATTTTTTTTTGTAAAACAACATATTGATGCATGGGTGACACGTCTTCTAATTGTAAGGAAATTGAAGAAAAATATAAAAAAATGCGATATACAATTATGCCGACGTCTTTTTACGTAGTTCACTTGAAGAATCAACGACATGAATTATATGTGTTGGCTAATGGACAAGCTAAACTTTATCCTGCATGGTGGGAGGTCGATAAGGTTAGTATATTTGTTTAAATATTTTAAAAGTGTTCATAAATAAGTGCGCAATTTGAATTATTACATTTCGATGCAGGTGTTTATCCCTGTTTTGGACCGTACTCATTGGCTTCTCGTCGAGCTTCAGCTCCCATCCCTAAAGACAATAGTATATGACAGCATGATAAATTACATATCATTGTCTGATTTGAGATATATTATTAAGGGATGGAGCTCTCATTTGGCTAAATTCTTAGATGCAATTAATTATTGGACTAAGTCTGGAAACAATAAGCCAAAGAAGTTTAATGTTACAGTTATCAGAGACGAGACCGCGCCACAACAAACGAAGGAAGCCAGAGGGGATTGTGGTCCTCTCGTATGCATGTGCTTCGAGCGTTTGACGACAGGAAGTACATATTTTCTACCTCCCACCGATAGAGATAGAGGTGCAGTAGGCTTGTGGTTTCGGTATTTTATGGCTAGAGCGATATATGCGAGACGCTGCCTACCTGCATCCGCATTATGAAAGTGTCCATAAACAATTTGTAAGTCAAATACAA